ATTTAAGGTTTGAGTCCCTTCGTGGTTGAAAGATTCAGAGTCTTTAGAGACAAGGTGGAACACTGTGGCTGCCATGGTTAGATGGGCTCAATTTTGCCTAATGTTTAAATCATGAGACTTCATATTATTTTTAAGTAAGGTATTCTTGCCTTGCTTTAAAGGTCAAACCAGATTAGATGGTGAAGATACAGACATAGTTAAGGGGACAAAGGGGTCCAAAAGAGACCAAAACATTATTACTTGTTTTGATTTGTTCCTTCATTTTGTATAGTAAATAGATGATTAGGCATGGTGCTGACGCAGGCTGGGGAGTTGTGAACCACTGTGTGATTATGACTCTGACTCTGTGTCTGTGAGTCATCGTGTCACCTACAGCGATCGGGTTGTCAGGTCAAAAGGAACACTAAACCGTTGTTGTGACAGCTAATAATATGCGAGTTAGGCTTGTTTGGAAGAATTGGTCTTTGTGTTTGTGTGTACTTGCTGTGCTTTGAAGCTGTGCGCCGGATGCTTTAACATTTTAATAATGATCAAATTGTTGAAATCAATATGAGGAAACTTGCAGTCAGTAATCTGATTGTTAATTCACTTCCTATTTCCTTTTTAATTTAGCAACAATGAGTCACATTGTAAAATGAACTGTATTTAGATTTCACAATAAACCCTCTAACATCTGTCTTTTGTCTTCAGCGGAAAAGGTTCAATTCTGCTTTTATTCCAGGGACAAATGTACGGTGGCCGACAGGTGCAAACATGGCACAACGGCCAATAACACTTCCATTAGGAGAAATCATAGACTGTATATATAAAATGCACTGCAGTTAAAAGAAAATGCAAAAAATATAATAATGTGTCAAAAAACATGCAAATAAATAAACATATTTACCAACATGACAACACTTCTTAGTGTCTTAAAATATGATCAAATGGGATACTTGGCAAAATATTGATGGATGGAAAAGCGACATATCATATCAGTGCAGGTTTTTTAGATGTAAAGCTTTAAAGTAGACCATTTTTAGGAATACAGTTTTGTAAAGATTATCTTGAAGGTGTAGTTTTACAGAATAAAACGTATTAGTTATTAAGCTTACTTCTTAATCTAAAAACATATTCCTTCTAAATCTTCATTCATGATATAATTATTAGTGCTCTTTCAATTGCTTCCTTGATGATAAAATGCCAGAATCCAGCCTCTGAACCATCCCTGTTCACCTATTGTATCACTTTGCATTTCAACCTGAGCTCAAGTGTCAAAAATAGAATTGAGCACTTAAGTGATAAAGAAGCTGGGGAATAATAGATTGTAAATGAAAAGAAAGAGCATGTAGTGTGAGCATAAGTGCGATAAAGTGGGAGAAGGAAAGAGTAGCTAACGTCAGGAGTGGCTGAGAGTGCTGAGTGGGCGGGGTGGTGCTGGTGGAGGAGGAAAAGAGCTGAAGCTAGTGGTCTCAGCCTCCTTCTCAGAATTATCCCTTAGTGACGCAAGCTCCTCCACTCACATCCTGACAGCTGCTCCCTGCCTGGTTACAGCGCTCCTCGGGCCCGTCCAATAACATTCAGGCTCATTTCCGCTTTAGTGCATGGCTTTCCCCCACTGGGTTTACCAATAAGGCTCAATTTAGACTCATTAGTACATGTTCACTTACCTTTTTTGTTTCAAGCTAATCTATGCTCTAGTGGGACCCCGGTGCCGCGCACTCACTGGGTGTCCTTTCTATTTTTGATGAAGAGATACTGTGAGGGATTTAAAAAAGCCCATTATTCCTACTCCACATGTCTCAGACATTGTTTATTCCTCAGTGAGGTCATAAAGACTGAATACACCATAAGTACACCGGGTGCTTGAAACATAGCTGAATGGCCTTCAGTGTTTTTATGTTGGATCTATTACCTTTAGAAGTAATGCAGCAATACAGTAATGGCATCATTCTCTTTGGTTTAAGACATTGGAAAGGGCTGTATGGATAGTGAAAACGGACAATTAAACTGTAAAACAATTATGTGAATGATAATATTACATAAGAGATGTAATGCAAATTAAAATATGATGATATATAGACTGATGAGGTCATGCTCTCACAAATGCTTCTCGGAAATAAATATTAGGAGGTATAACGACATGAAGAGGAGTTTACGTCCTGTTACTGCATATTACACATTTTTAACTGACATTATAAAGTAAAATAAATAAGCTATTGGACGTTATATGTAAGTGTGCAAAAAGGGGAAAACGTCATGGAAGTGGACTGAGTTGTCAGCGATGTCACTTGTATATTCTGAACATACCCTTTTATGATATGGTTACAGATTCATACCAACTGCACCACAATTCATTTCAGTATATATATATATGTATGTGCATGGATAGATGGATGGATGGATGGATGGATGGATGGATGGATGGATGGATGGATGGATGGATGGATGGATGGAGCTATACATCAATGCATCAATTTCATCTCTTGTTTTATATGTGATACTGCAGGAATGCTTTCTTGTTAATTCAGTACCTGACGCAATGACAATAAAGGATTTATATTCTATTCTATTATTGAAATGTCTGTCCACGACACAAAAGGCTATTAAGTTACTTTCTGAGGAGTTAAGGGGACTTCCAATGGGACATTGTTGGTATCTGTCCCATTCTTCTGTCTGAGTTCTATGATGGGAAATGAAAAGGATTTTACTAGGTTCTGGGACATTCCAAAGAGTACCTATCTTTTCTCTTTGAACAGATCCATGGGAACTGAGTTGCTTCCCTGAGGCCATGAGACAGAATGACCTATGATGGCTTTGATAAATGTGAAGTGTGCAGTTAAATGAGAAGAAGCTAAGTCATCTGAAAAACTGAAGGAAATTATAATTTTTTTCTTGGAAGTGACAAAGTCGCCAAAAAAGAAAGAAAGAGTATTACATGACCACATCTTTATTGTCCAATCCTATCTCTGTCATACATTCTTAACAGATGCCCATTTGCTCTCATGGCAACCACCAATGTCCTACTGCAACATAACATTGTTTAGGCCATTGGTAGGATAAAAATGGAGACACTCCAACTCTTTGTACAAAACAAAAAAAACCTTCCTCCTCCACTCTCAATTATTATAGTAGTCTTCTGAATGCTCTCAGCAAAGACCTTACCTGTCATATTAAATAAAACACAGCCAATGACAAGGAACATGGGAAAGCAAACAATATGTGCTGGTCTTATTCTCGAGATGATCAGAAAGCATAGACCAGTTCAATTTCCTTTCAAATGCAAAAATGTATTCAATTCAAACCTACAGTGGTAGTATGCGTACTCTCATGTGGAAGATAGTCTTAATGCTATGGGGGAAAAGAGAACCATTTTATTTCATTCTTAATGTGACTTAATGTTCATAGAAGAATTCATAGAAGTAGTAAATGTACATCAATATGAGGCAAGTGATACATCCTCAATAATAATAATAATACGTTACATTTATAAAGCGCTTTTCCTGGTGCTCAAAGTGCTTACAAGCAAGTAAAACAAAATAACAACAAAAGTAAAAAGTGCTAGGCTAGGTGGAATAAGGGCAAGGGGTTAGTTGATTAGGAGTTGAAGGCAACAGTGAAAAGGTGAGTTTTGAGGGATTGTTTGAATGGTGTGAGAGTGTTGGCGGATCTGACGTGGCAGGGGAGGGAGTTCCAGAGTGAGGGGGGGCTGCAGCGAAGGCCCTGTCACCCCAGGTCCGGAGCTTTGTCCTGATGGGCTGCAGTAGGTTAGCTTCAGCAGACCTGATGCGACGGGTGGGGGTGTGTCGTTGGATGAGGTCACAGAGGTAGGGGGGGACAAGGTTGTTGAGGGCTTTGAAAGTGAAAAGTAATATTTCAAAGTCAATGCGGTGTTTGATGGGGAGCCAGTGGAGGTCATGGAGGATAGGGGTGATGTGGTCGGAGAGTCGGGTGGAGGTGAGCAAGCGGGCAGCTGAGTTTTGGACATATTGACGTTTTTTTTTAGTATGAATGCAGGTGATCCAAAAAGTATGCTGTTGCAGTAATCCAGTCGGGATGTTATAAAGGCATGGATCAGAGTTAATAGAAGGCTCTTTTCAAAAGGTATGCAGTTATACTGTATTAATAGCCAAAGGGGTCTCATTCAATGATTTTCAGGCATCATCAATGTTCCGTAAATGTTCTCCTTTTTTCTTATATACAATGGAATCCTAATTCTGATAGATTTTTTGGGGGGTTTTCAATTTGTAAAATGATAAAAGTGAGTATGCTTTATCCATATCAATAGTGTTTGATAAAATAAACTAATAATATGAAAATAAAATCAAACATAATCATCAAAAGGGTATATGCTCTTCTCAGATTAACATCATAAATGCTTTAGCTCCATGTCAGTGCCAAAATAAAAAAATGGGTACATGTCGAGGGCCGGACTGGTTCAATGTTTATAGCAAAACTTATTGAAATGAACTTATTGCACATATTAAACCTGGAACTAACAAAGCTTAAATTATTGCCTATAAAAACAACATTAAACATTACATAATCAGTTGCATTCATTTCTTATGGCTCTATCTGCAGCTTTTCCAGAGTCATTTCTTATGATTACATTTTTCCAAAGGCCAACAACAGCTTAAAAAAAACGATTTCCCTCAAAGAAAAAAACAAACATGCCCTGTTGTCTCAAGAAAAAAGTGCAGAAGGAAACATCCATGTAAACTCAGTTTGCTCTGTGATGCTAGTTCAAGCCAGATACTTGGCATCTCATCTTGGGTGCAAGTTCATCAATGTTTGGGCTCAGGCTCTGAGCTGAGGAAACCCTCAGGATTGAGTGAAGGTGTGCGTGCAATATACCGGCGGGCCAGATCTAATAGTAATTAGAAATTATCCTGCGGGCCGAAATTAAATCCACCACGGGCCGGATTTGCCCCCCGGGCCTTGAGTTTGACACATGTGCAATAGACTATAACAAAGGTCAGTGGATGTAATTCTGAAAACTGTACTGCGCCTTTAAGGGGACCCGGAAGTGCTTGTTAAACCGGAACTACAGACTTCCCAATGTGACTTACCTTGAAAGCACTGTTAGGATTTAATGTTGTCAGTCTAGTGGTATAAAGCCTACGAAATGTTTCTTACCACCGCAAATTGTGAGTATTTAAATGAATGACGTTGCGTGGATGCGTATGCAGTGCTATCCCAAACGTAGCTGAATGAACCAGTCAGTTTAGTAACCCTAATGCTAGCTAACGTTAGCGGCTAGCTACCTCTCAATGTTAGTCAACACCAGCTAACGTGTTTCTTTTACTTTGCTTCTGCTGTCTTGGGTTTATCTGTTGTATTGACGCTTTTAACCTTAAGTGTTTTGAGTTATAATTGTTGTTACTTTTATTATTGTGTTATGTAGCGGTTAACTTGAGTTAGATAAGAAGCTAACCATCTGTAAGCTAGTGTACTTGAACGGTAGCTAAATACATTCATACATACTATTGCTCTTTCTTACTTTATTGCTCTGACTGATTTAATAAATATCCTTTGTTCTTTTTCATTTCCCAGTGGCCAAGGCTAAATCAAAGTAAGTGGGAGCCATTTGAATTGTTAAACTAGTCAATTCAGTGTTATATCCTTAGGTTTAGTAAAGAAATGCCCTGTACTTGCAGAAATAAGTTTACACATGTTGTTTCCCATCAGGACCATCTTGGTGCAGATGATGAGCGCTGCAGGGACAGGCTTCTTCTTCAACACAAAGAGGGGCCGTCTCAAGGACAAAATGGTGATTCGCAAACATGATCCATTTGGTAAGATATGCAGATGTAACAATGCACACTGAACACCTTTATTAAGCCTTAGTCACAGCCATTCAAAACTGCTGCTTGGACTTTTAGTATGGCAACATAAGCACCTGTAGCAGGAGGTTAATCAATTCCAGATCATATCAAATAAAGTATTGGGATCCATTTTGTGAGAACCCCTCTTGGGGAGACTGGTTTTAATTTGGCAGACAGTGGTGGATTTGTGGAAGAAAACTGAAACATGCTTTGGAAATGCCTGCAGGCTGTGGGGTTATTTAAAAGCAGTGTTAAACTGTTGCATGTTCATTACTTACATGGTGTAGTAAATGTTTGGTGGGGAGACCATTTAAGTTGACAAGTGTGTCTTCATAACTGTCATAAGTCAATACTATAGACCATTTTTTGTTCAAACTAATCTCCTTACTATTTGCTAGCACACCTGTATAGAAAGGATTTACAGAGTCAGGCTACAGACTGTTTTCGTAGGGACCATTATATATGTGTGGCAAGGAGACAATAACTGAGGAAGCCAGTGATCTCTGTCTTTTTTTTTTTAGAGTCTTGAACACGCCTTTTCTCCACAGCAAGCATGTTTTTGGGTCATTTTAGAGTCAGTAGAGTAAGGAGGAATTATATTTAGTTTACATTGCCTTTTCTTTTTTAAAGTGCCTGTGCCCTGCTGCTGCACAGCGGGAGCAATGTTTTGCACATCTTGACACTAAACCAGTGTTCTTGTTTATTACATCTCTTTGTGTATTATGATGTAGTCTTTGTATTGTTTTATCTCATCTCATTGTGTAACTTCAATGATTCTCGCCTTGAAATTCTTCAAAGTTTGTACATTTTAAATAAAAATGTCATGGTCTTGAGATTTCTGAATAGACATGGGTCATTAAAAGTGTTAGAATTTAGATGTATTTCAGAATAGATTTTTACATACTTATTTTTACCTACAAAGCTTTTAATAGTCTGGCACCATCGTACCTAAAATGTATTTGAATCCACTATTGCCCCTCTAGAACATCACGCTGCCCAGAGTCCTCAAACCAGATCAGGAGACAGAGCGTTCAGCCACCAAGCCCTTTCTCTGGAACCAACTTCCTGTTTTTATCGGAGAGACAGACAGTGGGTGTTTCTCAATCTCTAGTAAAGCTGCTCCAGAGCCACTATTTCAAGCATACTACGTCATCGAGTGCCGCCGAATGACTGTTCCAATGTCCAGCATACTTGGAATTCTACCGAGGCCGGCGTACTTAGCGTGAAATTTCGAGGCTGCACATGTGTAGACTCCGCGGTCTTAAAATCCCCACAATGCTTTGCGCACGGACCAATTTCCAAATCTTTGGCGGAAATCGTGCTCCATTTAAGGCGGGGCCTCGCATATGACTCACACCTGCACACCTGTTAGCCTGTTCCACCATTCTTCGTTTTCCGAGGCTAGGAAGGATTCTTGCCTCACTTCTGAAGGAAGTGACTCGGAAGACATGTGCTACCAAGCAAGCGTCTTCGACATTGAGAAACACCCAGTGTCCACATTTTTAAGAGTGCATTGAAGACCTTCCTAATTAACAAAGCCTTTAGTCAGAGCTGGCATTTTATGGTACTTTATTTTACTGTTTTATGTATTTTTATGATATTTTGTTCTATCTAATTGTATTTGTATTGGACACACTATCTTGTCTTTTAATTTTGCTCTAATTTTATTGTTTACAATGTGGTTGTTTGTTTTTAATCTGTTAAGCCCACTGAGATAATCATGTTTTGTGATATTGGGCTATAGAAATAAACTTGGCAGGAATACAGACGGATGTTTTTTGAATATTTTCTTACTTTACGGTAGTTTTTCCACACATTGAAGCTTCTCTCTTTTTAATTGTTTTAAGCTTCTCTAAATCCTGGTAGTTCTGCATTTTATTTTTCAAATGGTGTTAGAACTCTAACCTTATTTTTTTCTTCTTTATGTCTTCGCAGTGAACAAGCACGTGCTATTCTTTGAGAAGAGGAAGATCAGATCGATTTAATAAGCAGCCAAAATAAATGGACAACATGATCCTGCTCGATTTAAACTGACTTTTCTTTATTGACATGGATCAAAAGGCCTCCACCCCCCCACTGCACCAGTGGTCAAGCCTGGCTGAAAATCTTCAAGAAGGAACTACAACTCGTGTGTAAAAGTTATGCCATTACTCTGGGCTATACAGTATCATTGATAACAGTTCAATAAGGTTTCTTGAACCTTTACATGTAAGCCAAGTACCTGAATCCAGCCGTTTGTTAAATATGAACTATTTGGACAAATAAAATACATTTAATCAACTTTGTGTAGTACAAGCTATGTGTTAAGATGTTAATCAATTATTAAACTGTTTAAAACTATTGAGATTCTCTTTTGTAAGTAGACTTACCAACATCACACATGCACTTTTGAAAGTAAAATGAATTGGCTTTATATAAAACATTTTTTTCCAAACAGGTCCATTTCAGACTTGTTCCATTATCACTGGTGTTTACTGGCTGCTCTCAGAACAGTTCAGCTGGCAGGTGCTTTTTCAAGGGGTACGATGTCTGCGTGCCAACAGTCTGCACGCTCACTCCCGCCACCTGATTGGCTCTGCACGCCATCTCCTCCAGAGGCATTGTGGGATAATGGGCCATGTAAAATGCCAGCGCTCCAATAAAGCTGTCTCCAGCACCCTGTGAAGAAACAATATTACGAGTTTGCTTTATTAAATTCCACCTGCGGTTCAAACCGCCCCACTGTGTAACTCTACAGCTGCGCTCCACTCAGCAGAATCATAACATCTTGAGTAGGCTGCAATAAGTGAGGAACAATAACAAACAGACGACCTGTGTAATAGTATGATCCATCTTCACTGTCGTACCACCCCAGACTGTATTGGAATGCTATTTAAATCAAACAAATGGGAAGTTAAACATACATGCCAAACACATTCAACAGTAGGGGGTGCTGTAGCATTTGTTAGTGGATTTTCACAGACTTGTGTTGCTTCCTAAAGTATTTTAAATGACTTACTGAACTGTTATGTAGTGTGAGAGTGTCTCAGTCAGCTCTTCAGAGAAACATCTCTATTACGTCCATTACTCATACTCAAACCTTCTTGTAATGCCAGCAGAATGACACTTTGGTGGTAAAAAGCTCATGAAAAAGCAGGACAATTTAAACATTTGAAACTGAGTATTTTTTTACCTGACTTAGAGGAAAGACCAAAAGTCTCAAGTTCATTATGTGCTCAAATATTTGAAAAAAAAAAAAAAAAAAAAAAAAATCCCCAAACTATTGCAAACAATCAAATAAAAAAAATAAAAATATGAAATGTCTTTTAAATCAAAAACTGCACAAAGCTATCGACACAAAAATCCCCCCTGTGTTTTTTCAGTCAGCTGAATAGCACATGGCTGATGTAATCACTAAATGCTAACAGCTAACAGGTTTTGGCTATCTGTTAAACCTATAAACCATCCATTCCCATCTTTTAAATGGGTTACTGAACTTTAACATGGTGTGAAAGTGTATCTCAGTCAGCTCTTCAGAGAAACATCTCTACTACGTCCATTACTCATACATTCTTATAATGCCAGCAGAATGATAAATAAGTGGTCAAAAGCGCATAAAAGAAAATTGCTATATGGCATACTTAAAAAAACAGAGTATTTTTTACCTGAATGACAAGAAAAGACCAGAAATATCAAGTGCATCATTATGTGCTCAAATATTTAGAAATAAAGGAATTCTACAAATAAAAGCCAAAATTGTTGCAAACAATTACATTTAAATTAATCAATTATATATATATATTAACAAATAAAAACATTCTGAAATACATTTTTACAAATCAAAAACTGCACCAACCTAAACAAAATTCCTGCTCTGACAACTTTTTTCAGCTGAACAGCACATGGCTGATTTAATCACTAAATGCTAACTGCTAACTGGTTTTGACTATCTGTTTAAACACATAAACCATCCATTTTCACTCATCTATTGATAGAGATGGAATGTGCCGTCTACGCCCTGCAGGGAGGGGGGGTACTGATGGGAAAAGGCACGATGGTATGTGGCGACACGCTCATGTTTAACCACAAACTCCCCCCCTCAATGCTGGTTCTCACAAGCCCGCTCCATTACTCATCACCGCGGCTCTCAAAAGAGTTCATTGCACTCATCTATGAGCACCTCCGTTACCCCCCCTCACCCTCCGACCTCAAAGTAACCCTTGGGATGATTCAGTGACATGGGGCAAAAAAAGCCTAACACTGACCCCGACCCGGCTGGAAAAAAGACTCTGGGCCAAATAGGGTTCACAGTAGCTGGGGGGCGCAACCCAGACAATATGGGCTTTTCCCCCAGCACCTAAACTGGTATTGGTACTGGTATGAAATGTCTTCAACTACATAGATACAAGCCATGTGAAAAAAAAAAAAAAAGAAGAGGTCTGATTTGACATTTCAAAGGTCACTATTGCACCCCTCCCCCACTGAACGCCCCTGGTGTGACTCCTGGGGAGATGCTGGAAAGAGTGAGATCAGAGCTGAAACATTTCACAGGCCTGGTGGATTTCCATTTCTAAAGCCATGGTGTGTTTATGTCTCCTGTCTGGTAGCTGGGCTGGGCCAAATACAGGCCAGCGTTTGGAAACGAGGCTTTGGTTCTTGAACGTCTCCCAGTTCACACGTTGTGGTTGAAACTGAAATACCACTCTTGGTGATTGGGAACCAATGACCAACGGAGAGCGGTCGAGTTAAGGGGCTAATTTTATGCTGATAATCATTGTTTTTGCACGTGCCTCGTCCAATTTTCCTTTTTAACCAACTGTAGACAGTTAACTAATCTACCACCAAATCCCTGTCGGTACAACCACCTCTGTCTAGTCGCACTTCAAAAGGGTGGGGTCAGACAGGTTAAGAAAGCTAAATCTAGTAATAGGGCTTGTTGCTATAGTCAATATTTGTATACAGTTAACATTTAACAAATCTTATCTTAAAAAAATCAAAACATGACAGTTTGGGTCAAAATTGCATTTCTATGGTTGAAAAAAACACAGTATTTTCATTAACATAATTTCTGATCAATAAAAAGTAATTTCTTCTGGAGGAGATTACTAACATCAGTGCCTGTGTTGGGCCGCAACTTGTCCCTATGGTTTAACTGTTATTGAATACTTCATTTTGAAATGTAAATACCAGTCAGTAATGCAATTTCAAGTTGTGATATTTCAAAAAGCTTTTTAACCCTTTAGTATGTTTTTGTATTGTTCATAAAATCAGATTTTTCAGGAAAATAAGTTTTTTCTTATTTTAAGCTGACATTGGAATTGATCAGTCTTTTGTCTTGAACATTTTAACAAATAATCAAGGCATTAAACACTTTAATTTATGAACCTAAAAAATATATATTATTGTGCAAAATGAAATTACCTAATGGACATTTTAAAGAAAGGTATTTGAATAACATGTATTCAGTTTGATAAAATATTTCAATCATCTTATTACACAAAACAAACACAATTGTAAATATTATGGCCTATTTTTGCTTCCATTGTGATTTCTGTCCAGCTAAATATGACTTATTTTCAAGTATGGACATTTGCACAGGAATTATGTATAAATTATTCCTAATAAAATAAATTGTGGGTGGATTATTAAAAAAGTTGTAAGTGGAAAATGTAGTTTTGGCTGCTCAGTTATTTCAAATGACAGTCAAGGGCTTAAATAAAAAATACAATGGAGCTACTTTTTTCTTTTGGAGTGAGCGGTGAGGGACTAACATGCCATGCTTGAGGGCCAACGTAACACTGACATGTTATCTTCTATCTTGACGTGGTGAACTTGTTAACAAAGTTTCCTATCTACACATCTTGATTTTGCAAGAAAGAAATACTTCCTTATGTCTTTCAATGTCATTTCTTAGTGGGCCAATCCTGGTCTGAATAAGTACTGACGAAACAAGACCTTTACTGATCCAATGTACACTTTTGGTCACTTTACAGTACGGGCCACCCTCCAACCTTACTGTCTTACTAACATCTCCTTCACAGAGACTGGCATGTGACGCTACTGGATCTAGTGCATGAAGCTCAACGGGGCTGACAAGCACTACCCCCTTCAGCACCGCCACCGCTGCCCTCGACACAGTTTGGTGAAGGTTAGATCTGGAGGCCTGTCAATCAAGTGACACAAGCGTTTGCCGAGGATGAGCTGTGATGCTCTTTCTGGTCAACGACGCCGTCCGCCGCGTCTTGACCTCCGTACCGTTCCTCCGCCTGTCGTCATCCGGTACTCAGATGGAAGTTAGAAATTAGGATGGCAGATGTGTCTGCGAGAAGCTTGCCAAATTACTGAAGTTTGATTTAGGAAGTTGTCTACAGTGTTGAAGTGTGACACTGCAATAAAACAGTCATCAGAGAGCCAGGAGCCTGCAAAATGCAATTGATCAGAGTCTTCTTTGGACGATTTTACATGGTGACAAACTGTAACCATTGACCTTGTAAGTATTGTACTGACAAACACAAGGGAGTGTCCTTTTGAAATGCTTCTGACAGCACCTTTCAATGTGAGTTTAGAAAAAAATTGAAGATAAACGGAATACTTCGCAAAAGCTGTAATAACCTGACTGGCTGTACAGACGAACAAAGGCACGCATACAGAAACTCAAAAGTCAGTCAACACAAAATCCAAGGACAAAGACAATCGTAGCGCCCATACGCTCTGATTGACAAGTGATCTTTGTAAAGTGTAGTGCAGAAACACCACATCTGAGCACCAAAGACAGACAAAAACAAATAAACGGAACTCATAGAAAATCCCAGAAAGGACTGCGCACAGCTTGTCTTTCATGATATGAGTCAGATGCGACTACTGAACCTTTGGAAGCCTCCAGAACCTGTGACTGTGTTTCTCACCCAGAGGCCTCCTGCGATCTTGACTCCCATGTGCCATTAACTCCTGAAGCCTGCAGCCATTGTCAATGAAAGGCACCCAGGGGAGAGCAAAGACCAACTGAGGGGCAGCGATGACTCACAGCAGCTTCCACGTCCGGAAGCAAGGGAACAGCCAGGGACGAGGGAAGAAGATTCAGAGATCAAAAACACGTTTAATTGGGCCAATTAGGGCTCTCTCATCTTTAATCCATCAGCAGTGCTTTGTCTTAGCCCTCTTTCACTGTGGTCGACATGACAGCACACTAACCCTAACCGAATATCTGGGTTGCTAAACAGCAGCTGCTGTCGCATATGCTTAACATTTTAAAATGGTGATGTGGCACTATTTCCCATGGTGCCCTACTGCTTGCAGGGTTGAGGAACGCGATGCTCAGAAGGCATCGGTTACCTTTAGCTTCCAGGAAGAAAAATCTTGCACGTCTCCAGTCATAGGAGAGGACTTGAATTCATTTGATCCATCAGCAGTGCTTTGCCCTCTTTCACCGTGATCAACATAACTGCAGTAGCAGAGAACTGGCCAAACATCTGGGTTGCTTAACAGCAGCTGCTCTAGCATATGCAGACAATTTCAAATGGTGATGTGGCTCTTTTCTAGTGGTGTCAAGCTGACCTACGGCTTGCAGGGTTGGGGAACGCGATGCTCAGGAGGTATTCCCTTACCTTTGGCTTCCAGGAAGAAATTCAGGCAATTAGCCCAAGCACGACTCCAGTCATAGGAGAAGACTGGGAATCATTTGAGTGTCCAGACCCACTGTGCAGCTGTAATGTCTGGTTTAGACGGCACTGTCTACCTTTGGCCCTACACAGTGGACCTCCCGGAGCAGTGGAAACCAAGGCCACCCAAGTCCTGCTGGGGCTAAAGGCACTGGCTCTGTGTGTGTTTGTGTATGTGTGTGTGTTACAGTCTCTTCTTACTGTCCACACATCAAAAGCCAAGGCTCTGATCTCAGCGAGGGAAGCCTGTACTCAATTTAACACAAAAGGGAGGCAAATGGATGAAAGGGGGGGGGGGAGACCTACAGTCGATGAGTTGATTCACTTTGTTATTCATCCAGATTCACGACCCTGACTCAGCACGTAATTGCTCGTGCCGTGTTAAAATGTGTTATTCCGACAGCTGCAGGAGGAGCAGATGATGAAATCGTATCAGTCATTAACCAAGCTATATCAATCAAAGAGAAGAACTCCATCTGGGACGGAAACAAGGGGATGAAACGCATCTTAATAGATGGCAGAAAAGGTAACAAATGTTATCAGTAGTGGGTCATGCCATCCGCAGCTGAACAGTAGCCGAGCTTAAAACTGTGAGAAACCGCAAGTGACTCACTGTTGATATCGAAGAATTTGCGGCCTAGAATGTGTCTGATACTAGTAAAACCAGAGAGCAAGAACAATCCTAGTGATGACAAGTCTGGAGCCGATCCCTCATAAACATTTCTGTCAACTGCTACTGCTAGAGAAAACACAAACAAAGCAGAAATAACAGAAGAGGCAAATCATAACTGAAGAGGCCTGTGTTACCAGAAACAACCTCGAAGACGTGAATAATGATCTTGATAACAACCTGTAGTTTTTTTTCTCTCTCCGGTAGAAAAAAAGGCTTACTGGAAGAGGGATTATGATGTCCAAAAGAGTTAAACACTCCAGAATTTATGGGCCCATCAAAGAACAGAAGAGGTGGGGTGAGAGTGTGTGTGTGTGTTTGCGGGGGGACATGCAACAGGCCCCGACCACAGCTTTCTGCTGACTGATGCAAGCCCAAGAGGTGAGTCATGGGAGAGGAAGGGGGGGAGGATAGGGGTGGTGGGGTAAGTTCTCTTGGGGGCTACTGGGAAGGGGGGATTGGAGAGGGTGAATAGGGGCAGTTATGTGTATGCTTGGAGATGAGGGGGCATGGAGGAGGTCGCACACCGTTCAAGAGAGCAGGCCCTTTGTTCTTCAAATGCCAACGTGACCTGGGATAAGGAGGAGATGCAGCTGCACTGCTTTTAGGTTATGTCTGAAAAATACACAATATATTCATGTGTGCGTCTCGCTGTTACACACATTTAACCAGTGTCAGAAATGGGTGCTGGCAGACAGGAATAAATACCCAAAGAAATATTATATATATGCTTCTAAAAATCGAGATTGAGGTGAAAAAACTGCCATTAAAATAGTAAATTAAAGATATATATGCCAAATTAAGGCCAATATGCTGAGCTTCATACATTTGTAATCAAGAGATTGAGGTATAGAAATTGCCATTGAATATCACATAAATGAAAAAGATGTATAGATATATATATATATACATGTATATATATATATGTATATATATAGATGTATATATATATGCCTGTATATATACACAAATGTAGGTCTAAATGCTTCAAATAATGGTTTACATATCTCAATAGGCCTATAAAAAACAATATTTATTAAAAAGCCCAATATGCTAGGCTTAAAATAAAAACTTAAAAACTATATATACATACCAATTTAAGCAAATATGCTAAGGTTAATATAATTCTGTACTCTAATTCCTGTTTTTTCTATGCCTCAATAGTTTTGTAAATACCCCATTTTTTAGACAGTGGGCAAAAAAGTGGCCCCCCCTAAATGTTTTTATTTTATTCATTAAACTTGAATCAGTCCTATTTGTACTGCCTTTCTTCTTTTCATTTTCCTGACTTACGCAATAACCGACGTGGGTTTCTGGTAAAACTCAAACTGCATGCTTGTTATTGTTTTTTACAATGATGCATAATGAGCATCGTTTGGAAATTAAAGCACAATAAAAGTCCCTTGGGGAACTATTCAGTAAAATAATCCATTACACCAGCAATTAAAAGGCTGTAATCAAACAAAGAGGTGATTAACACCTCTGAGCGATGACGTGTTTAGTTGGTAGAACACAGGCCCGCAAAACCCTCAGAAACAGGAAGTGCAAACATCCAGCCGAGGCTCCTCTGACGAAAACAAGCCACAGAGGCAGTAGTGAAATGAGTCAAGCGATGCAGGCCTCTTTAAAGATACTATCCTGCTTTTAGGAGGGGAAACAGCCCGTGGTCACCACATCCCCGATGATCTGACACCGTTCCACTCGAGCAGCACTCAGATCAGTAGCTCCACTAGAGCTCAGAGTACCGGGAGAACATTTGACTGTGATGACTGGGCAGATGAAAGATCTGAGTGACAGTGTGTTGCTTTGGAAGTAAGGTGGAATTCTCTGTCAAAATAATATGTTCCTCTGTTATTGCTAAAATACCAATTTTAAAGATGTTCCTTCCATTGTTAAGTGGACTGGCTTACATAATCTTCTATTTAAAACAGGTTTCCTTTTACATATATCAAGTGTTATCACATTCTTCTCTGTCATAAACTCAGCCTACGAAAATTCTATATACACACGGAACATTTTTAAACAGTTTTAACAATTATTATCACTTGAAGGATATTATTTTATTATTCATCATTGATAATCATGATAATTATAGTGATTCATTATAAAGACCTGAGATCAATATGAAGCAATAACTTACGCCCATTTAAGAGTTACATTTATAGTTTAAAATGTAATTATATAAATGGTCTTTTCCGGACATTTAAATGAAATTATTTAAAATAACAAAAATAGACCTCCAGCTGTTCCCGTTAAAAAGACAAACCTCTCATGTTTAAGCACTATTTGAATTTATGTATATATATATATATTAACTGAGAAGGTGTTCTCTGTCAGAAAAGGTGACACAGATGGGCCAGGGGAATTTCAAAATAAAGGCCCATCTTGAAGGTGTTTGTTAAACCCCTAACACTAGTGTGGCTAAAATGCTAAAATACTAATGTCCTCTGGTTCAAACCTTTAAAACGGAACAAGAAGAACAAACCATGTCCGGTTTCACATTTTTGATACTAAAATTATAAAATGAATAATTGAAAAATAGTTACCAAATTAAATAGCCTACGTATGTGTGTATATGTGTGTGTGTGTGTGTGTATATATATATATATATATATATATATATATATATATATATATATATATATATATATATATAACTGGGGTCATTTACTAAGAGAGAAAAATCCCAATAAATAAACCTATAGATCAATTTGACAGTTAGCATTATTAATTGTAGTATTTCAATTTTCTATAGTTATTACTATAATATTGTTTTTGTGAATTTTTAAGGCCATGACTATTATGTCGTAAGAAATTCACGGACTTAATACACGAGTCATGCTTACCGTGGTGTCCACTGATTTGACTGAGGTAGTTTGAACATGTATTGAGGCAGACCCCTGTGCCTCGACCACCACACAGCCTTGGGGTCCCAACGTGATGATGACGGAGCCACAGCCTCGCTTCAGCAGCTCCTGCCCGGCCCGACGGGCTTCCTCCACGTTAGAGACCGGGGATCCAGTCAGCAGCTCAGCCTGCAAGACGAGCAGAGGGGCAGAGTCAAGAAACTGCAAACATCCCGTTCACCAATGGGACAATTTCTTAGTCATTTTAACGAAGACCTTTTATTGGTCAGGGAGCTAAGTTAATTAAGATAGAGCTAAACCAGCACTAGTGTGGGATACTTGGAGGATGCATTATGGAAATTCCCCAATTCCCAAGGACTGTGAGTAACAAACAGGAAGTCAAAGCAATTCCTATTTTTCCTGTAAAAAAATACACAAATGTTTTATTTGCCTCTTTAAAAACCCAGTGAAGTCCATCACAACCATTCACTATGTCCAATGCTTCCTAATTAGTATTCTATAGGAAGTATTTAGCGGATTTGTTTTAGTTTTTGTATTAACATTTGTGTGATGACTCAGCTCTTAATCACACACTGTGGTGGTCATTAAACACATTCAGTCTGTTCAGGGTTTGCCGGATCGGCCAGCAGTCTGCGGGCCAAACACATTTTCAAAGAGTAGATTCTCCGACTGCGCTGGCTCATCTGGCTCCAAAATGACTAAACAGTGACAGTGCAGAACTCCACAGCTGATGCTTAGAACTTTAAAGAAGGACTGAGAACCAGCAGCAGTTCTCTTCAGAGTAAGTGGCCCCCTCCGTAAAGATGAGCCACATTATCATGCCTATGTGATTAAAGGCGATTGCACTGCAGGTTTATTTGCAAGCATAACTGAAAGAAAGTGACGTACAATTACACAAATCATCGTCAAATTAAATCCTGTCATAAAAGCTAGACTTTCTAGTCTGTCTTTCTTTAAAATATTTGAACTGTTTATGCACATTTTTTGTATTAGACTGCAGGCTTAACACATGTTGATTTACTGTATTTATGAAATGCTTTTTCTAATAATGAAACTCAAAACATGCTGTCCTTTCATAATAATATTAACACCAAATCAGACGCTTATTTCTCAAAATAAATACACCTCATGTTAGTTTCAGTGTTTATTGCTGTATAACATTTATTTTTTCTTTATTTCCCATGTTGAGAAGCATTGCTTCTTAATCGCTTATTACTTACGACCCCTGCTATTCATTTTAAATTGTTAGAAAAAAATTAATGAATTGCATATTCCTTCCTTCTGACTTTCCTCAAAATGCTACAATGTACAAAGTGTCGGTTAGAATAGTGCACATTTAGGTTTAATGTTATATGCTTAATTAAAATATTTCAACTGTGGTGTCTTGAACAGAAATAAACTTCATTTGAAATATGAAAATAGAAATGAATGCAGTGAAGCATTTTGACAATCATTATTTTGTCTTTGTGAATGTAGATTAAATGTAGAGCAAAGATCAGTCTCTATGTTCCATCATTTATATTAACACTGTATATTCAAGTTAAATACTGATTTCAAATATAAATTCAAGGAAATGTCCAGTGAATTAAAAGCTAATGTTTAACATAAGTATTTTAATAATTTAATAATAAAAATGATATTACAAACAAAGAATGTTAGGTATTACTCAAATTGAGGTTTCATATTATGATCATTGTTAATATTATTATAACTTTGGGCTATTAAATGGTCATTTTTATTTTATATTTCTTTGACCAATGCTTTTTAGAGTTCGCCGTCATACACAATCAATGTTCTTAACTGTAAATTCACTACCCATGATAGCTTGTGCGTCTCCATTTTTGTGGACAGATGTTTGTTACTACAATAACTTTTTTTTGTGACTTTGTTTAGCTTTTCTCCTTCATAAACCAAAATAAAAAAAATGTGGGACAAAAGTGACTTGATTAAAGTTCCTCGTGAACAAAAACAAATTAAACAACATGTGGGATCCATTTAGACTTCCCCTTTAATTTTCTGGAGCAATTTCAGGTCTAGAATCACGCTGCTCTATAAATACCACTATACAAAATTACACGCAACATATTTCTTGTTAATGCTGCTTTTTGTTTTCTATGAAAGTGTGTGTGTCCTTTCAGATCTGTGGACACAGTTTGGCACGCGAGGTCCTCAGGTGGACATCAAAGATAACTCCTCTCACTATAAAGCACTTCAGTGCAGAATGTGGGCTCAGGATCAAAGAGTGCCTGCACTTTGTCATCCTTAAGCCCCCCCCCACCCGACCCCCCACCCTTCAGCTTGGTACAGTGAGACCACACACACACACCTGTACAGAATGTGTGCAAACCCACACAGGAGGGTCAATGCTTGGTTCATGCTCACATTGAATGGGGGGTCTGAGGATCCCCCCCACCCCCACTGTCAAAGTGAACAATGACCTTGGACAGTTCAAAAATAAACCGCCGAGTGTATCGGTGCGTTTAGAGCCCCGCAGCCACCCCGGTGTTGTCGGATGCCAAGAGAGAAAAAAGAGCCGTTTTGTTAGTCATCGGCTTCACACCAGGGCAGGGAATCAATCTACCTCCCTCTGTGTGCAGCAATAGGAAAGTTGAATTATGGCTCTCTCGCTGTCTATGTGTGCGCTTATTTCACACACATACCGCACAAAGCATATGCAGTATAAAGCTGTTGACACTGTGGGTGTATTATATGTTTAAGCATAACACACAAGGGTGGAAATAAATATGCTGTCATTAGGTAATTTTATATATTTATAGCTTTTTTCATTTGCATTACATTCTGTTTCAATTTGATATTGAAGTTGTTTAAAGTACATTTTCTTCTCTATGTTTGCCTCTGCATCAGTATGTCTTGACAAAAGCATTGCAGAATTTAGTTTAAATACATTTGTTGAATATAAATCCTAGACTGTCAATTTAAATACAATTTGTTTTAGGTCTTTGATTAGCATTATAAACGTTATGTTTCTTATGTTACATTAAAGGCAGTTAAACATTGTAAGTCCCAGTTATCGGTATAGCTTATCTGCAGTATATGTATGTGTGTAACTTGCAACATTTTTGGTGAATATTCGTGTGGAAGAGGCTCACTGGCAGGGTAGGGGAATTACTTTAGTCGTTATTTTTTTTTTTTTCTTACTTACATTTATTGTATGTCTTAATTTTTTGTTTGTTTTTCTTTGAACATATAACAAACTAGTCTATGCACTGTAGAAATGTAATACAAAGAGTTTGGTTCAGAAAAGTCGTAAATCCCTTAGACGGATATGACACTCTCCTGGCTGAATCATCAGTTTAATTCCATTACAATATTTCTATATCAAAGTAAATTATTATTTATAAATATTATTTAAAAAGTTGCACAGCGAGGTGTATAAAATACTTTACGATATCGAAGAAAATACCAAAATGTCCAATCACAAGGCATATAATCATATTTAAAATATAATTATCTATTCAGTAAAGTGCTTTTATTTTAGCCAATAACAAACTCTTACAGGAACAATATTGTAAGCAGTTTTTATGCACTAGGCCATGTTTAAAGAACCCCAATGAAAAATCAAACATTACTTTAACCGGGAGAAGAAGAAAAAATGATGCAGAAACTATAAATAAAAGCAAGCTAGAAATAGAAATAAACTAAACTAAAAACAAGGAAATCAAGGCACACTGCTTTGTTTAAGGTCCCATGACATGGCCATTTCTACTGATCATAATTCCATTGTTGAGGTATACTAGAATAGATTTACATTGTTCAATGTTCCAAACTCACATTGGTTTCTCATACAGCATCTCTGTATAGTATGTGTATTCACTCTCTGTCCTAAATGGCTTGTTTGAGCTCCTGCCCCCCCCCCCTCCCTATGAGCCCACTGTGCTCTGATTGGTCAGCTCGCCCACTCTGTTCTGATGAGTCCACCACCATTACAGCGGAACATCAGTGATTATGTGTTACAATGGCGTTTGTTAGCAACCAGAAAATGACACCAGTAATGACAAACAGATGAGAATGCTGCGTGGGTCTGGGTGCCGTGTTGGCGGGACGTTGCGCGGCTCGCTGCTGGAGCGGACAGTGTGAGCTGGCTTACTGGTGTCGTTTCCTGGTTGCTGCGTGGGGTCTGCGAGACAGCGAGACACAGCAAAACCCAGCCCGAGCACACACACACACCCGCAGACTGGCTGTGAGTCTGTGTGTGTGCTCAGGCCGAGCCCAGGCCGAGCCTCGCCGCGTCCCGCCGTCTCATGCTGAGTTCAGGCTGAGTTCAGGCTGAGTTCAGGCTGAGAAATCCGCGGAGCTGCAGCTGAGAAAAGATTGAGTGTGTGTGTGTGAGGAAGTCCGCGGATTGGTCCAAATAGCCGTGACATCACTATACCCAATACGTCACTATACCCAAGAAGAAAAAAATGGAAAAAGAAAAATCTTCAACGAGGCGTTCTGGGGCAGCATAGACAGGTCTTTTCTGTTTTACTCGCTACAGGGTGTACTTTGAGGGTTTGTGACTCTGCAGACCGTTTACATGAATAAAAACCTTCATAACACACCAGAAAAGCATGTCATGGGACCTTTAAAGAACACCTAACTACGTTGTTAAAAACTGTTATAACACACTAGATCTCCTAAGACAAGTCTACAGTATGTTACAATTCAATCATGCATTTAATCATTTATGCAGCAACTCACTTATTTATACCTGTTAAAACCCACGTATGCACATTGTTTAAATAGTATAGAAACAAAAACCTATATAAACATAATTTCAATATATATTTGAAACAATGAGAAAAAAATAATTCTCTATTTGAGGTTTTTTTATGCAGTGTCCTATGAATTTTGGAAAGTATCCATTATTCTTCATGTGTATTTCTGTTTTACTGCTGTCAGATCTGAGTAGATTACCCCTTTGTTTTTTTTATTGCACCTTTAAAAGTCTAATTATTTAAAGCTACTCCGGTACAGGGGCAACAATTGCTGTAAGTAACAATTTATCGGGTCTTAAGAGTTTAAACTGTTAAATAGAATGACAAATTCTACTTTTAGGGGCTTTACCATTTAAAATAATTAGGAAAAAAAGTGTTGCCCTCTCTTTCTTTTTGCATTATTATTATTATTTTTTAAGATATTGAATGTTAGGCTTTTTTTTTTTTTAA